TGCACCCACGGTTGTCTTCGTACACCTTGAATGCCGTGTCCGGTTGAACTTGCTTCAGGTCTTCAAGGATTCCGTGCAGCCACAGCCCTTCGGAGGCCGCGGCACTTAAAGCTGCATACTCGGCTTCACACGACGACAGTGCAACGGTTTGTTGCTTGCGGCTTGCCCAAGACACGGTGTTCCCAAAGACCTTAAAGACGAAGCCACTAACGGATTTCCTATCCTCAGCATCCGATGCCCAGTCAGCGTCTGCGTACCCGACAAGTGCCTCGACGTCGTCGTTTTGCTTGTACTGGAGCTTCAAGTTCTTCGTTCCCTTCACGTAACGGACCACTCTCTTCAGGGCTTGCCAGTGGGCCTCATCAGGTTGAACTTGGAAGCGCCCTAGGTATCCAACAGCGTAGCATATGTCCGGTCGAACACACAGCATCGTATACATCAGGCTGCCCAGCAATTGACGGTATGGATGCGACACAGGATTCGCAGCTTGTGGTGGCAGGAAACAGCCTTTCTCCATTGGGGTTTTGACATGGTTACAGTCTTGCATGCCGAACTTCGTCAGCACACGGTCCACAGCAGCTTCTTGCGCCAGGTACATGCATCCGGTGGCGCGGTCGTATCGGATCTTCATTCCAAGGAAATGATTAACCACGCCGCAATCCGTCATCTGGAGCTTCTTGGAAAGAGCACGCTTGATCTCCTTCACCAGGTCCAGTCGATCGCCAGCAATGAGCAAATCGTCCACGTAGATGATTATGTATACCCCCCCTCGATCGTCGATCCTGGTATATAGACAGTAATCATGCCGGGAACGGGTAAAGCCGAAATCCAGTAGAAGGTCGTTTAGCTTGTTGTTCCAACAGCGGGGGCTTTGCTTGAGTCCGTACAGCGATCGATCCAGCTTGCAAACGAAGTTCGGCGGTGCTGCAACTCCTTCGGGTATGGCCATGTAGACGTCTTCTTCAAGCTCACCGTAGAGGAATGCGGTCTTCACATCGAGTTGGTGAACGTGCATCCTTCGGTGGGTTGCTACAGCAAGAACGGTTCGTATCGTGGCTAACTTTGCTACGGGGGAATATGTTTCGTTGTAGTCGACTCCGGGCTTCTGTTGGAATCCCTTCGCCACCAAGCGCGCCTTGTAACGGATCGGTTCGCCATGCTCGTCCGGCTTGATTCGGAAGACCCATTTCGATTTGAGCGGAACCACACCAGCAGGGCATCTCACCAATCGCCAAGCATGGTTGTCCGCTAGCGACTGCAGTTCCTCACGGACCGCTTGCTGCCAAAGAGCTTCGTCGGCTCGTCCAGCGATCTCCTTGTACGCCTCCGGGATATCGAAGATCGAACGCTCGGCCTCATCTCGTCCAACGGAACCGTCAAATAGTACATCGGAAACGTGCTTTACTACCGCTTGCTACCGTACGTTCAGATCTGAATTCGAAGTGTATTGGTAACAGCGCACACACGAACGAATGAAAGCTGTATTAGAACAGTCGCATCTATACCCGCTTTGCTAAAATCATCGTGCTTGGAACGTAGTGAACCGAATGGGCTGTATTTATGCATTTCTTTATGACCAGGTTCTCAATGTTTCTGTCGTCATAACAGCCTTCACAAACCGACGACATCCCTCAGCTTACCCAAATGGCTGTCACGAAATGTCACGAAAAGGCTGTCACGAGACATTATATACAATTGATATACGGCAGTGGAGTATGGAAGAAACCCAGAAGAATGATCCCGAACAGATATGTCGGCCCGATGTCGGATCAATGTAAGGTCAATTTATGGTCGACATCGGCCAAATGTCGGGTCGATGTCGGGTCAATTATGTGTTTATGTCGGGTCAATGTCGGGCCAACATCGGGTTGGGGTTTGGTAGAAGTCAGGTTGGTGTCGGGTAGGCTTATATTTTTCGCCGGAGACCGTGCGTTTTAAAAAAAAATATCGGATGAAAATTTTGCAATGGGCAGCACGAACGTGATAGCAACCGAACGAGCTCCGGCTCCACACTGGTAGTGTAGTAGCAGTCTTACGACACACAAACAAAATTTCAAATACAGCAGCAACGAATCGGAAGTTTGACGGACTGCTTGTTGTATGTACGAGGAAAGTTACGAATGACCATCCGAGGCTGTCATAGCCGAACGAACAAAATACATGACTAAGAACAAGCTGTCGTGAACAGCACAAGACGGCAACGTTGCATGTCGTATAACAGCCTCACTGTGGGCTGTCGCTTATAGCTCAATCTCAAGGCTGTCGTAGAGAAAAGAAAGCGACAGCCGTTGGAATACTGTCATGAGGCGGTACTTTTGGTATGCCTGCGCTGGTGTAATTGGACCGCACACATCGGAGTGCACTCGTTCTAGAGGTCTTGTAGAACGGACTCTAGTACCCGTGAATGGTTCTCGGCACTGCTTTCCGAGAACACAAACATCACAAAAATCCAATTTATCTGGTTTCTCGGGAATACCTGTTACCATGCCATGCTTCGCGAGTGTCTGCAAACTCTTGCTCCCCAAATGAGCCAGTCGACGATGCCACAGGTTACCAGTCACAGCTCCACACATGTTGGCCGCCACCGTATCGACACGGAGATCGAGCTCGTAAAAATCGCCCCGCATGGGACATCTCGCAATCAGGTCACGACCTTGCTTCATGATCGCTTCCTTTTTCGTGAATGTAACATCAAGATCCGCTTTTGCCATCTTCTTCACAGATAGCAAGTTCGCTCGAAGATCTGGTACGAAGAGGACGTTCTTCAAGCTGATATAGTTACCTTCCTTGTTGACGCCGTTGATCGTGCCACTGTGCCGGGAAATCAGGGATTGATCATCCTTCGCCACGTTTATGACGACAGGGTGCTTCAGCTTCGTGAGGTCGGCGAAACAGTGCTTCACATTCACAAGGTGGTCCGAGGCTCCGGAATCCAGCTTAAAGGAAACTGCTCCCTCGTCCTTTGTTTGGGAGCATATCCCGGTCATAAAAGCCACCGCCTTACCTCCAGCAGCAGCGTTAGCTTCAGCGCGCCCATCTGTCTTCAACTTCACACGACAGTCCTTGGCCTTGTGCCCCTTCTTCTGGCAACGGTTACACTTTCCGGTGAACTTACCAGGCTTCTGCTTCGATCCTTGGAATGCTGCAGGTTTCTCTTGGCAGGAATCCGCTGCCCGGTCGGTTTTCTTGAGCTCCTCGGCAAGAAGGCGCTCGCGAACAACATCCAGTTTTAGGTTTTCCTCACCTAGATTTTCCAGTGCCGTAACCAACGGATCGAACGACTCGGGAAGGGTAGCAAACAGCTGGGACACAATATCGTTCTCTTCAAGCTTCGCTCCGGCCAGCTTCAGTTGTCGGATCAGCTCTTCGAAGGTTTTCAGGTGATCTTTCACAGACGAACCTTCCATCATTCGTAGCTTCGCAAGTTGCTTCCTGACGAATGTCTGCGACGAGACGGACTTCTTGGCGTAGGCGGATTCAAGGCTCATCCACATCTCCTTGGACGTCTCCTTGTCCCGCACCAAATGCAGCAAATCGTCATGAACAAATGACGTCAGCAGGAACGCCGCCTTACCGTCATCTTCCTGGAACTTCGTGAGCTCGGCCGCTTCCATCGGAGGATCCTTCTTGATGATATCCAACAGCTTCACGGACTTCAGATACTTCTCCACTCGAAATTGCCAATTGTCGAAACCGGTGCCCGAGAACTGCGGGATCCCGTGGACCAAATCCTTGCGTGAGTCGCCCATAACCTCTTGATGGTTAGAAAGAACCGGAACAGCAAAGTTTAAAAGTAGAATGGATTTTATTTAACGACTAGCTTGAGTGGAGTCTTGAACAGGAATGAATAGTTTTTCACCGTTGTTTATTTAAGAAAACTTAGGTTGCTAGGGGTGACGTTCGGTCTCCAAGGAAGTGATCAGCACACTGCGTTACCGATTTACTCCAACACCTATGTTCCTATCAGAGACGTGTTGGGAACTCGCGATATCTGCTATTTGCAGTCGGTTTATGTGTTTCTTCAAATGTCTAGTATAAGAATTTAATTCTTTTGTCTTTTGTCTCTCTTTATTAGTTTTTGTTTGTCTTGTCTCCCCGTCTCGATGAGTCTCATCGTCACCCACTGGTCACCCACCATAGCCGGTCGAACTTCAGACGAAACTAGAACCGCACTACCATTCATACTGGCGACAACGCTCTGACGAGACAACGAAGCCTTACCCCCAAGCTCCTCCCCTGATCCTATCCTTCGACAATGTACCTCTCAAACCTCGAGTAAGCCGCGAGTATTCGGCCCAACTCCTATTAGACATAGAATTTAGTGAGTTTTGTTACAAACAAAGAACAATGAACTATCGGCTCCGTAAAGCTAACGCGATTGAGCCTTCCAAATAAACATACTAGTTAAAAATAATAAAAAAAATAAACTTTCGTTGTCAACTACGAAAGCGGCTCGAAACTTCTTCTATATAGGTTAAGATCGTTATTCTATTTGCGCTGAACGAAAGGCATAGCTTTATATCCTCTCAGAAAGGCCATTTCCAAAAACCAAAACGTCTGACATAAAACATCGTAGAGTTTAGATCAGTATTTTTAAGTTTTATGGCAAGCTGATTGCAGTTTTACCCGTACCCTTACCCGTAGTTTTACCCGTAAATTACCAAATTACATTATTAGTCGCTCCTTAAAGGGGGCATGAATTTGAAATGTTCGGGCGCACATGTGAAAAATCAGTAACCAGCTCTTAATTAACCATGACAGCAATGATATAAATACTTCGCCTTTAGTTAGACTACAATCATACGATCATAACAACTATCGTGCACGATCACCTACCGCGGACCGCGTGTTTTTTTTTCACCCAAATGTAAACGACCTCTTTCGATGTAAACAATGCGTGAACGTCCCGTTGCGTCGTTGCGTTCCAGGTTAACGTAGTAAACAATCGATCAAGGCGCAAATCAATTTAGCTTTCTATACGAATCCAATGGATTCAAGGCCGCCGTGTTCGGGAGTCAGTAGTCAGTAGAATACATTCTCACTTTCGTTGGAAAGATCATGGCAGGTGGTTGATTTGTTGTTAGTTTGCTATTAAATGTGCGGGCTCCAGAAAATCAGATTTTGAAAACAATATGAGGTAAGTTCCAATTTAGATCAAACTGTGTCCCCTAAATAAAATCTTATCCTCTTTCAGCATGAAGTGGACACGTCCGGCGAAGGTTCCATACCCGGCAGTATGGCACCGATTTCAGGCCAAAGCCCCCGACAGTAAACGGTTGATTTGGTACACGGTTCAAGATCTCCCAGAAGAACGCTACGGCGATGCCATTCAGCACATGTGCGACCATTTCACCCGAGATGAGTTGATGAATCAAGCGAAGGGATTGGCCAAAGATTTGATGGCCATGAACGATGTTGTAACGCTGTGGAAATCGATGCTCCCGGATAGGCTATCGTTGGTTTGCTTTCGGGAAGGTTCCGACGAAGTGGTCGGTGTTAACATCCTGGATGTCGTTTCCAAATCCGATAAGGATGATGCTAGGGTAAGTTTTGGTGCCAAACTTCGATGACAGAGTACCCGAACAAGTTTTCGATTGTTTTCAGTTCAACAGCGCCATCTTCCAAGCCATCTACGACACTATCGGCTACGTATCGCAGCAAGCTAAGATCTTCGAACGGTACGGAGTCGATCGCTACCTAAATGCGATGGGTCTATCGGTGCATCCGCAGTACCGTGGCCGGGGCATTGCCACCGAGATTCTCCGCGCTAGGATCGCCCTCTGCCGGGCTGTTGGTCTCAAATTGAGCTCGACTTGCTTCACCGGACCCAGTTCGCAAACGGCTGCCACCAGGGTGGGATTCCAGGAGGATTTCTCCATCACCTACGGGGAATTGGCAGTGGTCAACCGGCGCTTCTCCTATCCCGGATTCGAAGAGAATTTTTGCAAATACATGAGCTTGAAAATTGATTGATCAAGTCAGGAGAACAAGAGAGAGTGTTTCATTCAGAGGAAAGATTTGCGCAAGCGCAATCCGTTCGTAAACAAACGCATGCGTTCAGAAAATTTGAGAAGCTCTGCACGATCCGCCACCGGGATGCGGTGATTATGTCAGAACCTTATCTACAACCGGTGGCGGATAGTAAACAGAGAGTTGCTTTATCTGAAGTCAGTCGTTGCTGTCCAACGGTGCTGAACGGTTTGGAAATCACATTAAATCACAATGGGTTGGCAAAGACCAAGCGAACCGACGATCCCAACCGTTTGGTACACGTTCCAGGCCAAGGATCCCGACAATGGTGACCAGTTGGCTACCTATCGAGTGGAAGATCTGACCGAAGATCGCTACGATGACATGGTCCGACACTACACGGAGAACTTTGTGAAGGATGAACCGTTAAGCGAGAACAAGCAGTTGTTCCAGGATGAACTGAGCATGGCGGAAATTACCGGTTTCTGGCAGTGGTGTTTCGAGCAGAAAATGACGATTGTGTGCTACAAAGAAGGTTCCGACGAGATTGTTGGAGCTAATCTGCTGCACGTGAAGCAGGCCGATGATAATGCTAGCTGGGATGTAAGATTTCTATTTTAAGCAATCGTAAAATTTCCAGCCACTTATTAAATGTTTTTTTTTTCAGATGATCCAAAGCAAAAAGATTCACGACATTATCGCGATCAACGAATATATGACGGACCAGTGCAGTATCTTCAAGAACCACAACGTGGACCGGTATCTGACGGCGTACGGCTTGGCCATCAACCACCGCTACCGGGGGCGAGGGATAGCAACGGAAATACTGAAGGCGCGGATTCCGCTGTGCCGGGCGTTCGGGATACGAGTGACCGCAACCAACTTCACTGCCATCGGATCGCAAAAAGCTGCCGAGAAAGTCGGATTCAAGAGCGATCTTGAAGTGACGTATGTATTTCCTTCGGTTAGTACTGTCTTGGTTAATAATTAATGGATCTTCCATATTCCGTTCCAGTTACGACGATTTTGCCAAAATGGGACCGAGGTACGCATTTCCGGGAATTAAATCGAAAAGTTTGAATCTGATGAGCTTAATAATCGAGTAGGCCACATATTTTAACCGGTACAAAGGGCAATGACGCAGCAGTTAAAGTAAATCTAGTCTGATACAATAAAACAATGAATCATAGCAATCGGGGCAGGCTGATAAGAGAGTTGCCACTCGACGAATCTACCCTTAGCGACAGTTTTGATTAAGTTTACTCTGATAATATCTGAACCAGTGGATGGGAGGCCATCAGCGATAACTTTCGCAAACGTAAACAAATTTTCACGTGCGAGAATCTCACGCATGCGCGTGGAAGAATCAAGCAAGATTTAAAAATATCGGGATCCTCTCCTCATTAAAAAAAAAACGCTCAAAGGGAGAGATGCGAGGAGAAAAACCGGAGAGAATTTTTTGAATCAAATGAACTGTCAAAATCTGAGCCAAACGAGCATTCTTATTGGCAAATCAAAGTTAGCCCCTGTGTAGTATAGAATCTCTATGTGATGATGATTTCAAAATTTTGCACAAGTGCAATCTTAAAATGCATTTATTTCGCGAACATTTTTTTTTATAAAATCTAGTTATTGCTACGATTGTAGAAAACTCAAGGGTTTTTCTCCATGAGGAATAATCTAGATGTATACCGAAGAACGCCCACGCAAACCAATACCACTATCGGACAGGAAGAATTTTGTCTGTTGTAGTAACAAGCGTTTTATCACAGACAAACATACATAACTGTTCATTCTGGATCATCGTTCACGCATTTAACGAATGATTTGAACATTATCATTTCCGCGAACTGCTCACCACAGCACTGGCATCGGATCACCGTGACGTTTTTATATATTCTGTATACATTGCATGCAACATGACGGCCAGGAATAAGAACTAACCGAAGGTGATAAGTATGTGACAGCCCTTGACAATTTCATTGATTGTTTGCAAAATTGTTTAATTTCAATATAATTTCATTCAGAATTGATGAATCTTGAACAAAATGCAAAAAAAAAACTATTTTGTAATGCATTGTTCCTAAATAAAAAGCTACTTCAAGACTTATAAATTACTGAAAGCATGTTAAGGTTTGAAATCATCTTCCGATTTAACAGCAGACAAAGTCTGATTAATATGCGGAATGAAAATAACTACAAGTGGCACTAGATTTAGTCGGTGGATGAATCGGGTGATTTGGATGATGTATCTTTATTTGGAAGATATTTTCGAAACAAATCAATTTAAAACTCAGCATTACATACCATTATTAAGAGTACAACCATAGAGGTAACTCTAAGACCCGAAGGTCCCGAAATAACGTGCTCAACTTTTTGGCTCAGCTCTGGCACTCTCTTCGGTCCCAAGCTAATCGATTCACCCCTCGAAACATAGGAAAATCCACCAACCCCCCATTTTATCTGTCAAACTTTCATAGCGAATCAAAACAAACATTGTGTAGTACTAGAATTTCGACTAGAATAGGGTACGTTAATCGTTTGCTTGGGACCAATAGGCTAGTCAAGTATTGAGCCAATTTAAAATCGTTAGTTTCGTATTGATTGTTGGTACTACTTTTTTTGCTTGGATCATGTTTTGACTTCCACAGAAAGTCGCTAGAATAAATAGAAAATAATTGTTTTTTGGTCACAATTCCACAAAAAATGTATTCAGTTTGACTCATTATTTCGGACTTATCACCGATCACGCGATTGCAGCGCCACGGTAACCGATCCAAACATGGATTGGTCAAAAGGCCAGGCATTAATTTTGACAAACACCTTCTCGAAAATTGGAAGGTCAACAACAGAGGGATTTTCGAACATTATAATTCATTCGCGAAGCGTTAAATTTATGTGAAAATTCATCCAAGTGACCTATCGAGTTTGAGTGAACGGAAGTCAAAAATGAAGAAGCTTCAACGACTGTGTACATTATTGAGTGCAAGCAGTTTCTCATGCAATCCATATTGCATGCAAGATTTAGTTGAAAGCAAGTAAACCCGCTTACTTTTGTACGGTCGTTGAATCCAACTCAAATCTGAGTTCCACTCTTAGACTGAGTAAATTTGCTACCATTTCCTCTAAAATTTGCTCGAATATGAGGAAATTCGAGGAAAATTTTACTCAATCTACACACCTTATCAAATGAGACAAATTTTACTCATCGCTGAGTTCCTGCACTTTTGACGATTATGAGTGAACTAAACTCAAATTTGGGTCGTTCTCATTCGCCGTGCACAGTTGCGAGACGGTCATGGAACTCTACCACCGACAAACCGACATGAAACTTAAACTTAAATCTTGATCGAGAATCCATAACGGTGGATTCAAATGTGCAGCGATCCCATCTGTCAAAACCATAGAAAATTTTTATCCAGATAAAAATAATTTGCCCGGAATAGATTAGACACGAACCAGCTCATACATTATGTATGCGTGTTCATGGCTAGGATACACCGTTTTCGCGAACACGGCGGCAGATTTCAGTTTTGTGCTTTGATCAGAAATTTGATGATACTTTGTATGGTCATTCATGTCGGTTTGTCAGTGACTCTACTATATTAAATTTTACTCCAGAATATCAAATTTTACTCCAGATAATCCTCCCGCCAGATATGATTTTTCATTAAATTAATCAACAGCAAAGGAGTCGCAGAGGTTCAGCCATTTTCAGCATTATGTTATGGTTGAGGATATGGTTGGCAGTAAATATATATATTTTTGGTTGACATTTTGACAACTCGGTCAGCACGATGAAACACCAAGAAACACCTTCCGATACCCAAAAGCACAAATGCAACACAATAAGCACAGACACAAGGTGGCAGAATGACTTACCTTCTGGTTTAGATGCACATTAGACTGATGGAAAATTTTGAAATTTTCGCTCCACAGTGCTCAAACGGTTCCAAATTGGGCTCTGATTAGCCTCCCAAAATTTGAACTCCTTTAGTAAGAAACTGACGTGGCACAAACCATTTGAAGTTTATATGGAAATTACCAATTTGAAACCGTTTGAACACTGTGAAGAGAAAATTTCAAATTTTGCATCAGTCTAATGCACATTCGCTGACCGGAAGCCGCCATATTGGATTTTGGTCGGCAATATTGAATTCTAAAATGGCGGCGGATGTCAATTTTGCACTTCTGCTCATCGAGCCCATTCCGTAGATACCCATATTGCATGGGTTAAGAGGCATATTCGCTGTCCGGATGCCGCCATAGTGGATTTTGGTCAGTCACTTTGAATTCCAAAATGGTGGCGGATGTTAAATTTCCACTTCTACTCATCGAGCCCATTCCGTAGATACTCATATATATATGGGATTAGATGCATATTCGCTGTCCGGCGGCCGCCATATTAGATTTTGGACCGCCATCTTGAATTAGAAAATGGTAGTTGATTCGAGTGTACCTCACAGCAACACTATTTACTCATATGTACTAGCTTAAAGTAGTTGATGTTATTGGGGTACCGCCTGTTATCTCTTTTTCTCTAACGAAAATTGAAAGGAAAAGCCTGTTTTCAAACAGCATGTCATTATATTGGTTTCGTTGTTATCTTGCCAAATTGTTTAGAGGTGAACACATCGGGTTAACATTTGCTTACAAGTAAACGATGTTGAGCTGTTAATGACTCGCGCTAGTTGGCGGTAATTGTGCTACAGATTTCATCAGTCCTTGCTTCTAACCAAAGCCTTCTTATAATCGCATTGGGTAACGCTTTTTCGGATCCCGTTAAACAAGCCTATCCTAGCGACAATTCTTGGCATCGACGCGAATCATGTATGTTAGGTTGATCAAACAGCTTCTTCATCATCGCTTCCCTTCTGGAATAATGGGAAGATCTCAAGGATCAGCATTGACGCATCATAGGGTTATAAGCAGGTCTTTATGGGAAACGGTATTTGATGCCTTATGGGAAAATTTATTCAATCGCTGCGAAAGTTATTCATGGAACCGGGAAAACATTGAAGCGGGTGTTCTGCAACTATAATGAAATGCAAATGTCAAAACTTCAACCGAAAAAGTATATATCCAACATATACAACAAAGTATATATAATGGCAACCATATCCTCAATCATAACAACATAACGCTGATAATGACAGATCCTCCTGCGACTCCTTTGCTGTTGTTTGTGTGCAGATTAATCCATGAAACGAGCATTGGCCCACTCACTTGAGGAGGAAGACGAAATGGGGGCCTAACCTGATGAAGTGCTCACTATCAAAGGCGCCTTCAGTCAGGCTGAAATGCACAACTGGTTTATGAACAGTATCCTGGAAATACCGAAAAATATTTATGGAAACGAAAGGAATAGGCTCTTTTCCCGTCAAGTCTTCATCGTCTTCTGATTTGTGAATACGGCTAGGCGGAAGCGAATTTCAGAAGCGACAACATTTCTACCATTTAGATTCTGAAGGACTTTATTACGAAGGAAGCCACCAAGAAACGGATCAAGCTGGAGATTTCAACCAGTAAGTAACAGCTTTCAACAAATTCGATTTGATTGATAACAGCGTAGCACCCATTTTCCGATATCAACGAGCAAACCTTTCCCGGATTAATCAAGTTGTCGAGCCGAAGATCGTTCACTACAACAAGCTGACGAAGGACCACCAGATACTGCAAGCATTAATTGATTTGGACATTCGAATCAATGAACCGCATCTACGAGATTATGACCGATATGTACATCGGTAAGTTAAAGTTCAAAGGGGTCAATGTGAAGACGAAACTGCCGCAGTTGACAGTCCTGCTGGAGAATTATAGCTATGACGAGTTGGTCAATTTCTACAGTGTCGTGAAACCGGTTGATGATGAGTAAATGAATTGGTAGCCCCGTAACGTGGGTAGATCACCTTTTCGTGGTACGTTACGGGATGTAAGATCTACCACCGAATCTTAGTCTTGACTACTTCAAACTAGGGGTACAGGATTTTTCAGTAATCAAAGGAACACATCTTAGTCCTTGTTACTTTTTATGCCTTGTTGATAGTGATAAGTCCTCGGGTTGCCTGTACCGAGGATGATCTTGAAACAAGGAAAAAATGAGTTAGTTAGTCTTCATCTATGTGATTCCTAATCTTCTATTCATTGTTCTCTAGTTTGAAGTGGTTAAGACTAGGGTTCTGATGCATGGTCATTATCGGTGTCATTGCTTATTTTTATTGCTAAGGAATCCCATTTCGA